GAGGGCGAGGAGCGCCTGCAGGACTTGCGCGACCGGCAGCGCGACGCCGCCGCGCGCCGCGAGGCGAGGCTGTCCGAGGCGCTGCAGAGCCCGCGTTGGGGCGCGGCGCGGGTCGCGGCTAAAAATCTGGCGTGGCTCAAGGAGCGGTCGCGAGCGGCCGAGGCGGAGGCGGAGGAAGTGGGGGAGGAGGAGGAGGAGGGCAAGGATGGCAGCGACGAGGCGCTCTTCGTCGTGGACGACCAGGCTGACCTGAAGCAGGTCGTCGGCATGCTGCTGCACCGCATGGTGCTGGAGCGCGCCTTCGCCGACCGCCTCTGCCGCCTGCTCGACCTGTGGATGGCGTGGGCCGACAATGGCGGCATGCGCAAGTCCGACTTCCAGGCGCTCGAGGCGGACAAGGTCACTTTTGCCCTCGCCACGCTCGTCGTGGCCTTGATAAGCGACGCGTCCTCGGCGGTCGAGGGCACCCTGTCCATGGATTTGCAAGAGTGCTTGAGGATGTGGCGCAAGGTTCGTCTGGGTTGAGGGCGCATGTACCATATCACTCTGCTTCCATAGACCTTCACGCTGTTCTAATAAATGTAAGCCCTTGTCATAATCCTGTCAGTAAAAACCACATGCATGCCCAGGTATACCAACCCTCTCCTGCCAATACAATGATGCACAATAAGTAACCTCTCAACGCCAAAAATATCTAGCAGTATGCTACATGGTATCATCGTGATATAGACAGACCCGCCGCACTTCACGCCGCCTTTATACTCGTGTCACCTCCTATTCCTGGTCTTCTTGGGCTGGTCCTTGGTAGTGTCTTCCTCCTCCTCATCCTGTCCCTTCTTAAGGTCCTCGGCGAGGCCCCACTCGTCCTTGTCGTACCAGTCCTCGCCGTCTGACATGTCTCGGCTTGCGCCGCAATGCGCCTCGGCCTTGGACCACTTGAGCACCATCTGTCGTAGCCGGTCTGCACGTAGCAGGCCCTCGTACAGCTCTTTGGTGCCGCGGCAGACCTCCTCTTGCTTCTGGACATACAGTTGCAGCAACCGGCGCACGTCTTCTGCATCCTGCTGCGGCAGACCAGCATCCCGGTCTGGGTATGCTGATGGCGGGGCCAGGAAGTATGGGTGTATAGCTTCTGGATCGCTAGCCAACGTCACCCCGGAACCGTTGACTTCATGAGGCGCGTTAGGAGCGCCAGATTGGACTCCCTTATCCATGGTTGTAAGGCCGTTTACTGCAACTGGGTCTCCGTTTATGCTCGAATTCTTGTCGCCGATTTCCAATTGACGCCTTGCTGCGGCGGAAGCTGTTGCTGACAGCTCGCCATTGGTCGCACTTATCGCGGCGTGTTTGTCCTTTTTACCTGGGGCTGCCTTCTCGCCATCCCCGACTTTATCATCTCTTTTAGGCGCGCCTTCTGAGAGCTTATCCCCGTTGACGGCCGCAGGACCGGCTGTGGCAGATCCATCCAAGGGGTCAATGTCCTCCATTGTGACGTCAGGATCTTCTTGTTTATCTTCCGCTTCGTCCACGCCAGCTTTCTGGTTCGTATGGCCGGGAGGCCCAGACCTCGGATTCGCGCCGTTGGGTATGGACGGCGACGCTGGCTTATGGGCTTCTGTTGCCGCCGCTTGCTTGCGGTTCTGGGGTCGACGGTGCTGCGGTGCACCGGTGGTGTGCATGTCGAAAAGGTTGGTGTCGCTGGGCCCCAGCATCATGTTACAGGATGCCCATGTATGATCACCACAGAGGCGCGTTAAGAGCGGGCGCACATTCCAAAGGGCCTTATTCTCCTTGTGCATCAGGTTCCGGCCTTGTAATGAGAGCTCGGACAGGGCGGTCGAGAGGAAGGGTCGGGAGAGTGTGGCATGGTTTGCGAGGTCCGCCGAGGTAGTTAGAGGGGCGAGGATTTCTAATAGGGCACATGGATCCTGTGAGCAGGGGTTCAATTCGCTAAGAGCAGGCAAGATCAAGCCAGAGGAAACCTACCCTCGAGCCGGATGCTTGCGTATGGATTGACCTCGTCGGCCTCGGCTTGCGCTTCGGCGACGCGCTCCTCCCCGTCATCGCTGTCGATCTCGTAGCCTTCTTCGTCGACAAGCGTTGGGTTGCGGCTGATCACGACGCGCTGGTAGCCAGCGTGTTCAACGGCCTAGATGATTAATGTTAGCAACGGACGCCTGTGACATCGTGTCTGCGGGCGTCGGCGCGATTGCGTGGTGAACTTGCCTCCTTGAACAGCGGAGGCCCGTTCGGTCCGATCTGGCCTCGGCGGACAAAGCGCGCTCTTTTCTTTAGCTTGCCCCCGCGGTTGGTGGGTTGTTCGATGTAGTCGTCCGAATCCGATTCTGCGGGAACCGAAGGGGCCTGATGTTAGACTGCGTCGCTGGGTCGCGAGAGCGGCTGGTTGAAAGCGTGGGACGTGGCTGGTCGGCTTAACCCAGTCTTACCATAGGATTTTCGCTTGACAGCTTTGCCGAGCGCCTTGAAGGCCTCGGCAATGAGGATCGCGTCGCGAGCAGAAGCGGACATTCTGCCGTCGGGGGTTGCGGCGGGGGGAGGGAGAGAGTGGTGTGTTCGTGTGGCAGACGGAGGGGGCGGCCGACGAGAAGGAGAGGGAAGAGAAGACGGGAGCGGGCGCCCGCGTGGACGGGTCGGTTCGAGTTCGCACTCCCAAGACGAGGGCGACAGATGCTGCTAAAGTGCGGCGCGTTGGGCGAGGACGGCTGACCTGGGTGCGAGGGAGGCGGCAGACATTGGAGGCTGTGGACGTGGGCTGCGGAGAAAGCTTTGCAAGGGCGTCAAACCGTGATGGGAAGCTGCACCTGCTTCGCTTTTTCCGCTCGGGCGACAGACAAGGCGGGAGAAAGCGGCCAACCATGACCTCCAGAGCAAGGCTGGGGCCAAATGCGTCGGTCAGGAGCGGCATGACCCTGGCAAGAAATTCGGGACTGTGGCACCCGCCCACTTGCAGCGCTGCCGAGCCAATAGGGAGATGCGATAGGTATGGGTGGGGAGGCCTCGATAAGGACGCGATGGGAGCGAGCAAAAAATCAGGCACTGGTTCCGGTGACGGGCACTTTGGTTTGAATTGGTGCTGCGGGCCACCCACTCAAGCCCCAGCTGAGCACCCTCCAAGCAGCCACCAGTTCATGTCAGAAATGGTCCGGGCAGCCCATTGCCAAAAGGATCCCGCTGGGGTGAGCTGTCATGAGTCGAGAATTGCCTCGCCAGGCTTGGGTTGACACACGACTTCGATCTCTTAGGATCCGATGTTGCTGCCCTGGTTTAGCTGTGGTGGCCGCAGCTGTAGCTGGCACAGAAAATTGTGAAATTAGAGATGTGCGTGGTGGGTGAAGCTCAGCTTCTTTCATGCTCGTGGGTTGGGTTTTAGAAGCGTGCGCGGCTGGGGGTGTCAATTTAGTGGTGTGACGGCTGAGCTGGCCGGAGCTGGCCAACGCTCCATGCGCCTGCCCCAACCCCAACCAACGAAAACACACGCACCTCGACTTGCAGGCCGATGATGCTGTAATGGCAAGCCAGGTCTCAGCCTCCATCTGGCGCCGTTGCAGGTAAGTCGGCAGCTTTTGCACAAGATGGGAATCTGTCGAGGAGGGCGCCACTGACGGTGGCCTACCCCTCCGCCACCTCCAGCTAGAGTCCCAGGCTTCACCAGCTAGCCTCCGCGCCTCCCCCGCAGCCGCCGACCAACCTACACCGGCCCCGGCCCGGCAACCACAACACCCTGCCCTGCGACCGCGGCGGCCGGCTCTGCGACCATGGACGACTACCCGGCGTTTAGCCTGGACCATAACATCCCGTGCATCACCCTGTTTGGCCTGTCGCCGCCCTCGACCCCACCGCCCGCCTTCCCCTCCGATCTCAAGGAACAAGGCGTCCTGCTCCGCTCCGAGGTTTCCTACGTCGAAACCAAGCATGGCGCGGCACTGCTCGAGTACATCCAGGGGCGCGATGCTTCCAAGCTCCCATGGAACGCCACGCCCGGCGCGAGAGGGTACAGGTTCAGGGTTAAGACTTGCGGCGGCACATTCATGCTTCCCCCGCGGCGCGCCAGGCTGCCCGATCATATCAATGCTTCGGAGCCGCGGGGGGCTTTCCACTCGCCCTTCTCGCCGCTAAGTCCGTCCTGCCGCCTATATCCGGATGGCTTCATCGACAACCGGTGGCTGGAGAAGCAGCAGGAGCTTCTCCCGAGCGTCTTTCTATGCTTCTATAACCTCACCTCGGACCTGACGCTCGCTACGCTGCACGATAATCAAATCAAGACTGATATCAGCTCCATGCGCAACACGCTCTTGCAGCAAGGCTACAAGTCCAAAATCATGGTTGTCATTCTGAGCGACCTGCGCACCGCCTCGCTTGACAGTACACGAGACCGTCTTGACAACATTAGGAAGGGCTGCGCCCTCGACTCCAAGTCATTCTTATTCATGCCCTCGGCCTACTCAACCGAGGAGTTCAAGAAGCAGGCGGATAGTCTTCTGATCGCTGTCTATGGCCATGCTGTAGAGCACTACCGGGATCTGGGCCGCCGTGCAAGGAAGAAGAAAGGGCGCGGCGTGGTACCGCAGCCGACGGTGCCGCCGACCTCTGGCACCTCGCAAACCCTCTCCCTGCCAGGATGGAACGTGCGGTACGACTTCAAGTCGGCCGTCTTTGCCGAGTTCCGCCAGGAGATGGACCAGGCACTACGGTCCTTTGAGCAGGCATACGATACCCTCACCGGAGCCGACGTGCTCGATATCATCCCCAGCTGGAGTCCGCGGTGGAACGAAGCCCGGCAGCTCGCCGATATTATCAGTATCCGCTGTCTGCGCTGCCTGCTCTGGGCTGGCCAGACCAGCGCGGCAGTGCGCCGCTGGCAGGCGCATCGAGACAGAATTAGCGACCTAATCGATCGCAGGGGGCGGGGGACTGAAAACTATGGGTGGGCTGCATGGGAGGCCCGCTGGGCAATCGTAATGGCCGAGCTCATCGAGAAGGCCCAAATCACCGACCTCTCAACCGCATCCCCCAACTTGTTTCTCCAGCCCGAGAAAGCGTCCATGGGAATCCGACTACAGCCCTGGGAGTTCTTACACCATCCAGGATATTGGTACAAGGCTGCGTCACAGCACCTGTACGCTCGCCGCGCTTTTGCCCTGAAAATGCCCGAGGAAGACCGGGAGAGGCCTGGCAACTCCCCAGCAGCAAGGGTCGCACACAAAGCCTTCACATACGACACTTACATGTGTCCGGAGCCGCATGAAGAATACCCCCTTCCAAACGCCGGCAACGGAGTGAACCACTCGCAGTTGATAGCCCAGTGCCTTGATGCTGCCAGGGTTGAGTTCCAGAGGCGCGGTCAGACTCGGCTCTGTGCCGAAGTGACGCTCCAGCTAGCCAAGGAATTTGCCTCGTCGCACAAATGGCAGTCTGCAGTGGACCTCTTGAAGCCCATGTGGCTAGATATGTCCTTTAGAGCGGAGGGCTGGTTAGACATCACCCAGGAGCTGGCATGGCTGCTCCGTTCTGCTGCCCGGCCGGTCCAAGATGCCGAGCTGCTAATATCAGTCGAGTGGGAGCTGCTAAACAAGAAGTACCAAGAGCGGCCGAAGTGGGAATACGATCTCTCAAAAATCCTCGACGGTGTTTCGGCTAGCGAAAAGCCTGTCGTTGATATCATCGACGAGTCGAGTCTCCCGCTCCTCTCGAGCTCGTTCGTTTTCAGAAGCGAGGAGGGAAACGCCGGCCGGACAGCTCGAGGCCAGCTCTCCATCACCTCCAACGCGCAGCCGTCGTCTGCGCCAATAGTCCTAAGTGGTATTCAAATCACATTCGATGGGAGCATCAAGACGATACATCTGAAGCACGACACCGCACAGGCCAAAAAGCGCCAGTGCGGCAAAGCAACAGTCTCGGACGTTAGTTTGCAGGAGCAATCCGTAGAAGCACTAAGAGGTGACGACCCGGGCAAAGAGAAAACCACCCCAGCTGCTGTCTCCGTCCTGCTTGGGAGTTGCGATCTCACACTACCCCCCGGACAAACCGTGGTTTATGAGATGGACGTCCCGCTCCGAGAACCAGGCGACGCAAAGGCCCTAGCAACGACACTTTCAGTGGCCAATGACATATTCAGCCTGGATTATGAAGTGCCGTGCAAAGACACTAGTGTTGCGGGGATCTGGCACGCACCGGTCAGGCCAAGGAAGATCCCGCGGGCAAACTCGCACTCGATCCGGATCCTTCCCCGACCACCAAACGTGGAGATCAAGGTGAAAAATGCCATGGAGCAGTACTATTCAAACGAGGCGATCGAACTGGAGCTTGAGATCGTCAACGCCGAGGATGCATCTGCAGAGCTCCGGCTTAATGTGATCATCACCGGCGAAGAGCCTCCCGATTTCCGGCTGGCAGCTGGAGACGAGGAGTCGGCGGTGGCAGAACCGGACACAGCAGGGGAATCTAAGGAGATGATGATTCCTCTTGGCGCAGTCGCTGCGGCAGACTCTACCCGGGTCACCGTCCATATCAGCGCGGTCGATTTCCCGGCATCATTTGACGTGACGTTTGTGGCATCGTACCACCTGCTTACCGATCCCGCGACGCCCATCATCCAGACCGAAGACTTCAAGCTCACATTGGTCAACCCGTTTGAGGCAAATTATGACCTCCTCCCCCGGCTTCACCCAGACCCCTGGCCGAGCGTCTTCGACCACGAAGGCGTGCAGGGCCTGTTTGTCGATGACAGCTCGTACGTCCAACCCCGCGGACTCTTCCAAACCTGGTGCCTCGTCACGCGGTACGCGTCATTCGCGTCCGAGGACCTCGTTGTCGTGAGCGTCGATGTCTCGATCGCGCCAACTTTGGGAGTGCAGACCAGGGCGTCGGGGAAACAGATGCTGCCCGATGGTGGCCGTACCGTCAAACCCAAGACCATAGAGGAGGCCCAGTTCGACATCACAGCCCAGAAGTACAGCCTAGACGAGCGAGATCCCGTCAACCTCGACGTCTCGTTCATTATCAACTGGCGCCGAGCCGACGACCAAGAGTCGCGGGCCAACAAGACAACCCTGCCCGTGCCTCGCCTGGACATATTCGGGCCCGAGCCCCGCGTCCTCGCGTCCGTGTCGTACGCCAGGGCGGGCGGCGACCGGGCCCAGCTGGGGCTGGCGCACCTGCACATCACCATCGAGAACCCGTCGAGCCACTTCTTGACCTTTGGCACCAACATGGAGCCCAGCGACGACTTTGCCTTCTCGGGCTCCAAGACGGCCACCCTCCACCTCCTGCCCTGCTCCCGGCGGGTCGTGACGTACTCCATCCTGCCGCTGGTCAGGGGCGCCTGGGTCCGCCCGAGCCTGACGGTGCGGGACAAGTACTTTCAAAAGGTGCTTAGGGTCATCCCGACCGAGGGCATGAAGCTCGACAAAGAGGGCTTCCTCATCTGGATACCTGCACCGGAGGAACAGGCGGTGGAGGGTGAGGAAGGCGAGGACGACGAGGATGAGGAAGACGAGGAAGATGGTGATGATGATGACGACGATGACGAAGAAGAGGAGGAATAAGGGACTTGAGCATGTTGGAAGCGGATGAACTGTGAGTGGTTTTTGTTGGCAGAGAGGCAGGCCATACATAATAGGAACTTGTATCGGGACGATATTGCAATTTAGAGCCCTTCTAGTCTGGGTATGGGGAGTCTAGTCTTGGAACTTGATACGACACGAGATGATACAGCCCATCTATCAGCAGGGATCCATCCCACCCCCTGGAGCAAACACAAACGCTCAAGTGTCTCCACTTGAGAAAAAGAAAGGTGATATAGTACATGGATGCACGTATAGCCCAACAACAAGAACAAGTTACAACTTGGACCTCCTGGGCTGCCCGATCATGGCCTTGAGTTGGTCGTCGATGGTCCACTTCTCCCGATCCGGCTTCCGCCACCAGGCCTGGAGGTCCTCCTCCTCCTTGCGCCAGCGCTCCATCTCGCGGCCGATCCAGGCGGCGGCCTGCTCGGCGCAGACGGTCGGCCTCTCCATGGGGACGAGGTGGCCGACGCCTTCGACGACGTGCTCGGCGACGCGGCCGGCCGCGACGCCGCCGCTGCCGCCGACGCCCGTGCCCGTGGCGGCCAGCTTTTCGGCGCGCAGGGCCGGGGTGCTGAGGTTGCTGGTGCTGCCAAAGATCCACAGGACGCCAGGCGCGACGTCGGGGAGGCGGCGGAAGACGCGGTCGCTGTCGGGCTGGTAGAAGTCGTAGTCGGGGAGCTCGCTCAGCATGGCGGGCTGGATGTCGCGCAGCAGGGCGCGGTCGAAGACGAAGCGGCCCGTGGCCGGGTCCAGTCGCTGGGCGCGCTGGCGCAGGTACGTGAAGACCTCCTGATGCTTTGTGGTGGCGAGGGTGACGGAGCCGGCGGGCGCGTCGGGGTACAGGGCCGTGGGGCAGTCGCGGAGGCCGTGGCGGCACCAGGCGTCGAGCGCGCGCGGGTCCCAGGTGCGGTAGAAGGGGGAGCGGCGGAACGAGGCCTCGGCGTCGCGCCTCGACGGCCACAGGTCGCGGCGGGCGGCCGAGGCGACCTGGGGCCCGCCGCCGACGACCTGGGGCTCGATGGAGCGGAAGTGCATCAGGACCGGGTCCATGAGCACCAGGGCCTCGAACAGGCGCGGGTGCATAAAGGCGGCGTTTGCGACGATGGCGCCGCCGAACGAGTGGCCGACGCCGACCAGGGGCCGCGGCATCTCGGCGCGGAAGACGTTGACCATGTGCAGCATATCGCGCGAGGCGTCGGACCACGACGGGTCGCTGCCCAGCCGGCCCTCGTTGAGCGCGCCGCTCACGCCCTGCCAGGCCATGTCGGCGATCCAGATGGCGCGGATGCGGAAGCCGCGGGCGGCCGATGCCGACACCAGGTCCTCCCACATGGCCTCGTACAGCTCCTTGGGGAAGCCATTGGCGTGCACGCCGATGACGGTGACGTCGCCGGGCTGCGGGTTCGGGTTGCTCTTGGGTATGTACTGCTTGACGGCGACCTTGAGCACCTCCTCCTGGGAGTGGGCTGTGGCTCGCGGGTACTCTCTGATGTGTGAGGCGTCAATGATGTGCTCCTTAATTTCGAACACCGGGGACGACATGGCGACCGGCCAGGCTGAATTGACCGGGCTCGCTCACTGGTGTTTGAAACGGGCAAGACAAGGAAAGGTACTCCCGAATCAGCTCGGGGATAAATCGACAGAGGACTGCAATAAATTAACAAGCAGATGGACAGAAAGAGCGACGTGGATATGAAAAGTGGCCTAGCCAGAAAGCAAGTTCGTTATATACACCACATTACGGACGTATGCGGACAAGAGGTACGTCAAGGGTCCGGGGTAGGTACCTTCCTCGTCGGACCGCTTGGTCTTTGCACCCGGCTGGAGCGCATCGCAAGAGGACACCGACTTGAGCCTCGGCAGATGCCAACGGGACGGTCGTGCCTGCCCGCTGCTTCGTCGCAATCCTGGCGAACCCAGCCGTTTCCCGTTGCGGAGTGTGGGTTACACGTGCGTGTGGGGGGTGCAACCCCTGGCCAAGTCACCTGACCTTCGTGGGGCGTTCGCGTCTAGGCTGCAGGGGTTGCTTAATTGTTTGGGCGCCAAATTGGCGCGGCCGGGCACTTGCGCGCATCTCCGACGCGCCTTCTCGTCGACTCCACCCCTCGAGATTCGAGATAGAATGGATTGATTCGGCGTTAAAGCTGCCCCTTCGCTACAGGCTCCGAAAATCGCATCCGGATCTGGCTTCTTTGGGCTGACAAGGCTGCTACGCACACCGACTGCCCGGTATTCTCTCGTCGTTTGCAGGTCCTGATACATGTACGGCACTTGGGAGAGGGTGACCCTCGTCGCGTCCGCTTGACCCTCCTCCTTGCTGCCTCGCGCGTGCGCACCACGCAGGATTCAAGATGGCGGCAGACGGGAGCCCGATGCTGTTCGATGGCTGCAGAATTGCATTTGTGCCTAGCAGGTCGCTATCAATGGCCACCATCGCCGAGGTAAGCCCAGTCCTTTGATCCTGAAGTGCCGGTTTGCCATTCGCGGCGTCGCTGACTGACAGCTTCCCCTCACAGGCATCCAACATAGTTACCAAATATGGCGGCGAGGTCCTCGAGCCGGAAGATGACGGTAGGGTGGCCATACACGAGGCCACCCACATCATCGCCAACACCATCGACTTTGAGGAATACGAACAGGTCCATGACCGCATGGTCCCCGTCGTCGCCAGCAGCTGGATCGGCCACAGCCTGCACAAGAAGAAGCTTGCCGTCCTACGCCCGCACTCGCCCGACCCCCGATTCATATTCCACTCCGTCAACGTCACATGCGCCGACATCCCCCCGAGCGACAAGGAATCCATCATTGGCGCGACCCTGGCCTTGGGAGGATCCGAATCAAAAGACCTCACCAGACTGACCACCCACATATGCGCCCTCACCCTCGACCACCCCAAGTGCGTACAGGCCCTGGCCAAGAAGCACAAGTGCAAAATAGTTCTGCCGCACTGGTAAGTCGACCGAGACGGCTGCACTTCTCCCCCGGACTATGCCACGTCTGACCCACTCCTCAGGTTCGACGACTGCTTCAAGCTCGGCAAGAAGATCGACGAGAGCCCTTACCTCCTGCCAGACCCAGAAATCCTCAAAACCGATATGGATGCAAGGAGGGTCGGTATGCTCTTCCCTCAACACCTGGAAGGGGCCTCGAGTAATATCCCGTCGACGACACCGGAAGAACCGAAGGGCCGGTCATTGACAGTCTTCGGTCATAAGAAGGTCATGCTGGGCGGCGACCTCCCGGTTAGCGATCGTTTTCTTGAAATCCTCCGCGGCACCATCGACAGAGGAGGCGGAAAGCTGGTCGACAACGTGAACGAGTGCGACATGTTTGTCTGTCACTATCGAGATGGAGAAGATTATGTTCGCGCCTCACAGAAGGGGATATCGGTCGGAAACCTGTCTTGGCTGCTGTACATGATTACGCTGGACCAGTGGTCCTCGCCGCTGGGAAAGCTCCTCCACTATCCAATCCCGCGGAATGGCATCCCCGGCTTTGAGGGGCTCAAAATCACCGTCTCAAACTACGCAGGCGAAGCTCGCGCGTATCTTGAGAACCTGGTCAAGGCGTGCGGAGCCGAGTACACCAAGACTATGAAGCAAGACAACACCCACCTCATCACAGCTCGCGCCAACAGCGAGAAGTGCGAGGCTGCCCTGGATTGGAACGTGACAATGGTAAACCACTTGTGGATCGAAGAAAGCTACGCTAAGTGCGAGCTCCTGAAGCCTACCAGGACACCCTCATATACACACTTCCCCCCAAGGACAGACCTGTCCGAGGTCATCGGCCAAACCCGCTTCCAGGAGCACACCTTGCGCGAGCTTTATTACCCTGGAGGCGACGTGCAAGACAGCGAGGCAGCTCCAACGGATTCGGACGAGCCCATGCCAGACGCCGAGACCTCTGTCCCACCAGGGGACGGGGAGCAGCTGGAGTCAGAGGATGATGATACAGATGCCGGGAGGGAGTCCTCAACCGCAGCCGAGCCTAGGAGCTCCCAGACAGCCGCAGGCAAGAAAGCCGGGGCAAAAACTCCAAAAGCACCACCCTTGAAGAAGGCCGCGGCCAACAAGGCTGCATTCGCGACGCCTGCTAGGCCCAGCCGTCACGCGGGTGTCGGCAAGGAGAATGAGACGCCGACGCCAAGACCAAGTACAGGCCGGAGTGCCAAGGACAAGGCCCTGAACAAGCTCCACGGTCTCGCCCCGGACATTGCCCTATACGAGAAGGAGAAGAAGCGCACGAAAGACAACCAAACGCCCTTCGGTGGGAAGCGCGCACTAACGGCGCTCGAAAAGCGCAAGGCCGAAGCGGAGGCTGCCGAGAAGGAGAAGGAGGATGTACAGGACGATTCAGAGCGTCCCACAAAGAGGGCACGACCGTCACAGCCGCCTGTACAGTACCGCATCATGATAACGGGCTGGACGAGGTGGATCGACACGGGTGACAAGACCAAGGGCGGGGCGCTACAGGAGGACAAAGAGCGGGTAAGTTCAAGTCTACATTTCAACCAAGATTGTGTTGGTGCGCTAATGGATTCTTGCCGTGTCTAGCGTAAACTCCGACAAATGGGGATCCAGATCGTGCAAGAAGGGCAGCCGTGTGATTATCTGGCTGCTCCCAAAGTTGTGCGGACGCAAAAGTTCCTGACAACGCTGGCCCGAGGGCCAGACCTGATCAACGTCGACTTCCTCACTCAAGCGCTGGAGACGGGTGAACTGCCGAACATTGAAGAGTACGCACTCAAGGACCCGACACACCCGGAGATCCTCAAGTTCGTGGCCAGGGCCCGGCAGAACAAGGGAAAGCTCCTCTGGGGCGTTCCCGTATACTGCACAGCCGAGGTGCCGCACGGGCCGTCAGCGTTCAAGGCCATCGCCGAGGCCAACGGGGCCATATTCAAGGTCTACCGCGCCCGGAGTGGCTCGACAATCCGGCCGACCACGGCCGAGGAGGACGGCGGCGCGCCTCCGGACCCCGTGTATCTCGTGAGCGGCGAGAGTGCGGCCGAGAAACAGCTGTGGGCCAAGTTTTCCGAAATGGCTCGGCAGGGCCATATGGAACCTCGCGTCGTGGGACCCGACTGGCTGCTCGACGTTGCCATGCGCCAAAAGCTGGATTTCCAGGAGGGGCATCTGCTGATGTAGCGTCATGGCACCACCGCCGACGGCTTTCGGCTGATGACGATTCGATATCCCCTCCTTCCACCCCATTTTTGGATGCCTTTTCTTTCTGTGGCCATGTGATGCGTCGTTTGCACATGCGCCTTTCAGAGGAGTAACAAGTGGCGTTGCCGGTGTATTATTTAATGGGGCGACCTGCGGCCAATGCCATGTGATCATGGGGGCCTTTTGTTATGTTTTTAGACGCATGGGGTCGTTTGGTGCACCGCTCGGTGTGGCTTCCAGGGGCGCTGGTTTGTGTTTGGCATGTTTTGGGCCATGTCGCCGGCATGGCAAAGCGCACACCATAGCTGTAAATAATTTGATGCCCATCAAAGTGTCAGAAGAACTTGACACCTTGAGAGTCTTCCTGGCCGAATATCTGCGCCTTGCCCCTCTTGACAAGGACCTGTAGTGCCTTTTGCAGCAAGTCCGCATCCATGCCGTGGATCTCTGTAGGGTCAGGTCCTTTGTTAGCGGCCATCTCACCCCAACATAGGCCGGTACGGCAGTCTGGGGGGTAGATGTCTTTTTCTTTTTTTTTTTTTTGCTCACCGGTGCCCAGCGTCCCATCGCCCTCGACGAGCTCGTACAGGGTCAGGACCGTGCCCTTCTGGGCCGTCTCGTCGACCCAGGCCTCGATCAGGGCGGCCCACTCTTCGGGCTTGCGCCAGTGGATCCAGACCACGTCACCGCCAGCGCCGCCGCCGCCGGATCCCGCGCCGACGTCCTTTTCCCTGCCACCGACGTACTCGGCGCGGCCGTCCTTGCGCATAAAGTCGATGACCTCGCGCACGTCGGCGGGCGCGAGCCGGCGGTTCAGCCGCCTGTTGTGAAAGAGCTCTTCTGCCGTCCCCGTCGTCGTTGCGTCCCCTGTTGGTGTTGCTGCTGCTGTTGCTGCTGCTGGCGGTGGTGGTGGTGGCGCGTCACCGTCGTTGTCGCCGTCGTCGTAGTAGTAGTTCTCGCCACGAACCGGGGCGGCGGGCAGCGCGGCGGCGGCGGACGACAGCGACAGGCGGTAGATGCGGTGGTGGCGGCAGTAGGCCAGGACGAGGGCGGCCCACTTTGTGAGCTGGGCGTGGTGCGTCGTGAGGTTGGTCTGGCGCGTGAAGAAGGGCGGGAAGTGGTACTCGCGCGGGAAGGCGAAGGGCCCGGGCGCCGCCGGAGGGGGCATTGCTGGTGTTGCCGTTGGGTGTTGGATAGGTTGACAGGAGGGAGGGTGTGAGGTATGGCTAGCTAGAGGGGGGGTGGCTTTTTGGGGGATTGACAAAATGGTCTTGTCTGGTAGAAAACGACCAAAAGGCACCTAGAGGGGGTTGAGAATGTGAATGCGGCTGGCGAGGGTGGGGGTGGGTCAAGGGCCAGCCGAGGCCTGTGACGTCGTTGCAGCCAAATGTGGCGCTTGCGGTAAAACTGCTCAAAGCCGCAACTCATTTAAAGCATAACAGACCCACTCGCGCATAGGAATATGCACTCACCTCACACTTCACATGGGCGCAGATTACCAGCTTTTTGAACATGTCCATATCTCGAGAGGTGTTATTCCGTCTTCCCCAAGTCGTCATACATACGTAAATCCGTTCCTAATATCCTAATATGCCACAGGAAAATAGGGCTCTTTCCCAGCCCGCGCCGCGCACGCTCGCTCGTCTATGCATCCAGCAGCTACGCAAACATACCGTCTAATAGTTTTTACAATCACTTTTCTTTTCGCCTTGATGATCTCGACCATCAGTCGGCCTTGATCTTCCCCGTCTCCCCCGCCCACTTCCACCCGGCCTTGCGGTGCAGATGGTAGTCGCCGCTCAGGATGCTCCTGTAGATGCCGTACAGGCCTCCGATTGGCCAGATGCGCTTGAGCCTGTCCTTGAAGCCGACCCCGGCCCCCTCCTCGCGCACCTTGACCTTGTCGTAGACGCTGGGCAGCGGCCCGGCCCTGTATCTGGCCCGGACGGCGTCGTACCAAGCCCGGCCGCCGTAGATGTCCCAAAACTCGGGCTCGGCGTAGTACGTGTGGGCGTACAGCCACTTCATGCCGCCCAGCTCGCGCACCTTGGCCTCGAGGTCCTTGTTGAGCGCCACGAAGCGCGCGCGGTCCGTCGGCCCCTGGCCCCAGAGCCCGATGTTGAGCATCTGGCGCTCGTCGGCCGGGTTCGGGTCGGCGCCGGGCGGGGTGGTGACGGGGTGGAAGGTGTTGTGGCCGCCGCCGGCCCTGCGCCGGAGCGGGCAGAGCCACAGCGGCCAGATGCCGAAGCGGTCGGCGGTATAATCGACGAAGCGCTCGGCCGTCTCAAAGGGCAGGGCCAGGTCCTGGACGACAAAGGTCTGGTGGTGGGCCGAGGCGTGCAGGGCGCGGTAGAGCATGCGCGTGTGCAAAAAGTCGTCGAGGAACCAGCGCGTGAAGCGGTTGAAGGGCACCATGAAGAAGTACTTGAAGGCGTGCCGCGCCACCCAGAAGCCGCCGCGGTCGTACCGGAACAGGTACTCGGCGAGCGGGACGTACTCTGTGACCGAGGAGACGGAGGAGGAGGAGGAGGCGGGCGGGAGGGCCTTTGTGCGGTTCTGGACGTGCAGGTAGAACCAGGGGTCCCAGGCCCCGCTAAAAGTCTGTACCCTCTCGGCCTCGGGCTTGTCGTCGGTCATGGTGCCGGTGATGATGACGCCGTGGTCCTTGCTGAACAGGATGCCGTCGACGTAGTCGTTCCCGGGCCGGTCCACCTCCTCGCGGACGGCGCGGACGGCCTCGGCGACGCTGTGGACGCGACGGTACGTGGTGCGGACGAACCGCTTAGCCTCGATCAGGTCCAGCTCCAGCGCCGTGGTGACGCCCAGCGTCCCGACGGAGCCCGTGGCGGCGGCGAACAGGTCCGGGTTCTCCCCCTCCCCCTCGGCCTGCGACGACGGCGACGACGCGCGCACGACCTCGCCGTCGGCCAGCACCATCTCGACGGCGCGCACGTTCTCGTCAAAGTAGCCGTGACGGAAGCTCGAGCTCTCGCCGCCGGTGCCGGCGAAGCCGCCGCCGCACGTAATTCCCGGGAACTCCATGACGACGGGCGGCACGAGCCCGTGGCGCAGCGTGCCCTCGACCAGGCGGTCCATGGGCACGTTGGGCTCGACGAGGGCGCGGCGGGCGGCCCGGTCGACGGACAGGACGTGGCGCAGGGCCGAGATGTCGACGCGGCGGTCGCCGGGACGCAGCGGGCGCGTGGTGTTGGTCGAGCCGTGGAAGATGCGGTACGGCTCCTTGGCCTCGAACAGGCGCGCCACCGACCCGGCGATCTTGGCCACGGCCGCCCGGTGCCGCTCCATGGCTGCGGCTTCTGTTGGGGTTTCTGCTGGTGGCGCTGGCGCTTGGGTTGTGTCGGCGCTCGAGTCCATTTTCTCAGAGGCCGTTGAATCGTGTCGAGTTTTCAGTGGAGTTATAGGGGGTCTGGTGTGGGCCTGGCGCTGTTATCTCGACACTTCTTTTCATGTCACATTGACAAATTCCTTGCCGGTTTCTTCACTCGGCTTCACTCAGAGTTGCTCCCATTTATTGAGGGATGGTGGTTTGGTGAGCTTTGGCATTCCAACGAAATATTAGCTAGAGCCAGCAAATAAACCCCGCCTTCATTCCACATTGTTTTCTCCAACCAACAAACAGCACACATGACATGGATGCGACACTCTGTCAACCGACACCACCCCTTACAGCTTAGCAGCCGCCCCCGCCGGCAACGCCGCACCAACACCCACACCCCCCTGCATCAGGTGCCTATACCTCCTCCCCAGCTCCTCCCTCATCTCCTCCTCAGACCGCGGCCTCAGCTCCTCGGGCGCCAGCGGCACCTCGTCGAGCGTCCTGGCCCGTATAGTCGTAAAAGTCGACGGCCCGTCCCTCCCGGCCCCCGGCCCCGCCACCACCTCCCTCACGAACCCGGCCCAGGCGTCGAAGCACCTGTCCGAGGCCGCGAGGCGGCCCCGGAACACGAGCGCGAAGCAGTGCGGCATGGCCTCGTACTCCTCGAGCACGACGCGCACGCCCGCGCCCGCTAGCCGGCCCGCCATGGCCTTGTCCTCGTCCGCCAGCAGCTCCCAGCCGGTACAGATGTAGGTCGGCGGGGCGCCGGCCCAGTCGCGCGCCGCCAGCAGCGTCGCGAGCGGGTGCAGCACCAGGGAGTCGTCGATGTATACGCTCCTGCGGGGAGGGGAGGCCGGCCACGCGGCGCAAGGGGGCCGGTTCGGCGAGTCCATGTGGTCCCGCCCGCCGGGGGGTAGGTAGTCCCACTGGACGTTTGTGCGCCACGACGGCGAGCTGAGCGTCATGTCCAGCCACGGTGAGGAGACGGCCACGCCTGCGGGCAGGGGCAGGTCGCGCTCCTCGCCGAACCATGAGACCCGGCGCTTTTGTCGGTTGAGTTCTAGGATTGTCTGTACCAACGCGAGGCACAGGTTTCCGCCCGCACTATGAAAAAAAAAGGGGGAGTTGTATTAGTAAGGTATGTTGTGTCGATGTGAGGTAAAGCCAACTGCCAAAAGGCGGCAACGGTGACCATCTATCCCGGCCTAGACATACCTGTCACCAGAAAACACAATGTGCTTGGGGCTCACGGCCTCGTGGAACGCGTCGGGCGGCGGGTAGAGCAGCGTGAGGTAGGCCACCAGGCCGTCGAGGATGGCGGCGGGGAACGGGTGCTGCGGCGCGAGCCGGTACCGCACCGAGTAGCAGCGGCCCCCCGTCAGCTTGGCCAGCCTCTTGACAACGGGCCGGTGCGTGGCCGGGTCCATGAGCCAATAGGCGCCGCCGTGCATATACATGATGGTCGTTGTCGACGTCGTCTTCGTCTCGGTGCCGCCCTCGCCGCCGCCGCCGCCGCCGCACGCCTTCATCATCTCGTCGTACCGCTCCCGCTCCGAGCCGCCCGGCAGCGGCGACTGCGGCGTCGCTGACGCCCGGTAGCCCGTCCACTCGGCCTCGACCGACACGACCTCGGGGGTTTGGGACAGGAGCGATGAGGCGGGTGGTTGTGCTGCCTCGCTATTCTTCATCGAGGAGGAGGAGGGTGTGGAGTGTGAGGATCCGGTCTCGGTCTCAGTCTTGCAGTGCATGTCGGCGGCCAGCCCGTCGATGGCGGCGAGCAGCGCGTCCCGGACGCTCGCGGCGTCGGCCGGCACCGGGTTGGCGTACCGGCTGACCCATATGCGCCCCTTGACGCCCGGGTCGCGCCCCAGCAGCGCCTGCGTGGCCGTGATGCTCAGCGGCCGCGGGCTGTTGACGAAGGACCGGAGCGCGGCCACGACGAGCTCGGTCCGGAGGTCCAGGTACTTTGACTGCTGCGACAGCCGCAGGACGTGCAGGAGCGCCACCCGCGCCAGCGACGGCACCTGCGACAGGGTGTCGAGGAACAGTCTGAGCCGCTGCTCCGAGGCCATGTTTGTGTGCTTCCAGGCGAAAGGACGACGGGGGCGTCGTCGGTTGGGGACTCGTGGGGTTGTTGCTTGCTGTTCCTTGCTCCTGTGCCGATATACGTACGAGAAAGAGAGAGAGAGAGAGAGAGAGAGAGAGAGAGAGAGAGAGAGAGAGAGAGAGAGAGAGAGAGAGAGAGAGAGAGAGAGAGAGAGAGAGAGAGAGAGAGAGAGAGAGAGAGAGAGAGAGAGAGAGAGAGAG